TGTATGTGATTGATTTTCAAATGAAAATGACAGAATTTACCGTCATCTGTACTCCTATACTATAAACCGATAAAAACCGGTTATCGATTATAAATATAATCGGTTATCGATTTTACAAAATTCTGAACCGGTTTTAATCCGATACGATAAAATCCGATTATAAATCTGATATCGATAACCAGTTCCAACCTCTAGTCGTGACTGTATAATACTAATACATTAAATTTTAGGTCAATTTGTTACAGCAAAATATAAAATTTTAACTCGTCAAAATGCAGTTGAATATTTAGCTATCAATCTGATCTGCAGAAAATTTCATATCTGATGTTCGCTATTTAACATTTTGTCTTAAGGGTATATTCAATAACAATTTGTGATTTTCTTATAATAAATCTGATTGGTTTCTTCACTCACTACATTTTATATTTTTTTTTAATTAGAATCTGACATAACCAATTTAAAGTCTTTTTTTTTAAAACTCTATTACTTCTAAGTTCTTTTATTTAAAAAAATGATTATAATAACTTTTGCAAGGAGTTAAAGTTAAAAACGAGTAAAAAAAAACTATTGAACATATAAGAGACGAAGATACTAATAAAACTTCTTCAGACGATTTTCTTTTGATTAGAATTTGACAATTTTTTATTAAATAACAAATAATTTTATATCATTAAAATTAAACTAGTTTGATATAAAGTTGATTATAAATAGTAAATACTAATTTCATTTGATTTTTAATCGATTTTTAATGTTAACTGAAACTATACTAAAATTTTTTGCCAGATAGTTAAAAGTTAACTGAATTTATTGATTGCTGATTTTTCTTATTTTAACCAGTGTATGCTAATAAAGATGTTATAAAAGTATTTACTATAATAGGAATTGCTCCTATCCTTCCTATCAGAATCTGAGAATTTATTCAATCAAAGAAGTGACATATTTTTCTGGCTGTACAAGGTATAGAGTCACCTTCATTATTTCTTAAAATATATTATTATTAGTTTTGCTAATATCGATTTTATTACTTACCTTGAAAATAATTTCAGTATCTACTCTTGAAGATGAGATATAGCCTCAAATTACTGATTTCTCAGATATAGAAGTATTCTCATTATCACCATAATCTGATATAATAGTATCAATTTTTCTAGCTTGATTCATACTTTTTACATACAAAATATTGAATGAGATCTTTACTAGGTTTACTAATTGCAAATATATCATTAGACTTTATTATATTTTTTTCATTATTTACAGATTGAGATATATCCTCTGATTTTAAATGTTTAAGTTCACTAACTGTTAAAGCTAACTCTTATTCTAATTTAGCTATTTTAGATTTAAGGGATAGATTCTTAGATCTTTTTTTCAATAAGTCTTTCTGAATTGAAAACACATTCTTTTGAATTAAAGATAACTTACCTTTCAATATTTTAATCATAAACTCAAGTAATCTAATTTTCTTGAATTTTGTAAAATTCTTAACCTTAGATTCAGTAAGAAAAAGATTTTTGTGCATATTTTTAGAAGTAAAGTCAGCATTTTTAATTTTTAATTACTTAAACTTATTAATGAGTTCTAAAGTATAAGTATATAACTTATATTTCTTACTATTGACATTATCAAATACATTTTCTCATTGCTTTCTTTCCTGATTCTACTCTTTCTTTCTTAATCAAAATCCTTTATTTGCTTAGAGTATTTATTTCACAACTTACTATTATAATTATATAATTTAGAAGAGGATTGAAGAATACCATAAAGTTCTTTCTCAAGATCTCATTTTTCCATATATATATATTAGCCATAAATATATGTAATAAAAAATCTCTTTTAATATTTTGTATTAGAGTATAAGTATAATAAATAAAGAATAAATGTAAATACTATTGAATGATCTTTAAAAATATATAATATTAGCTAATAAAAGATATATATAACCATTTTTTTACTTTACAGATTTAAAATAGCTATTCATATAAAACTTTACACTTTGCTTGTTAATGTTTTTTATCAATCTCAAATGATAAATATCCATCTTTAATATTTTATTTATTTCAAATGATAAATATCTATCTTTAACATTTTTTATCTGTCTAAATTATTCTAAAAAAAATTCAAAGCAATGTATACTTTATTTTTAAAACATATATCATCGAGATACATATTATTTATCTTCTAAACAGATTGAAGAAATTAGAGAATTTAAAAACAAAGTTCTTATATATAAAGTAATTAGCAATTATCATATATGTAAAAAACATATTCTTGATATATAACATAATCGTAAGCGTCTTTAATAAGATAGAAATTATAAATAAAATTCAGTATTTTTAGTATATAATTTAGATATGAAGATTCAATCCATAAATTAATTCAGTGAAAGAACAAAAACACATCGAATTAATTGCCTGCCAAATTATAATACATGTACTCTAAAATTTTTATCAATACTTCAAATAAGTAAGTTAAGAAAAGAATCTGAAATCTAAATTTGTTCAAATTTTTGACTCATTTAATATTATTAATGAGATTTATATATCCAATATTTTAACAAAAAAAGTAGAAAATGATAATCTATATACTCTAATCGAATATAATTATAAAAAAATAGAAGAAGTCAAATGTAAATCAGAAAGAATTTTAAATTTCAACAAATATATTTTTGTTTTCTCTATAGATATGATAACATTCTTACTCTGTGGATTGATATTGATAATCCTTTCATTTGAGTCTTTAGATTCATCTTTATGAATTCGCAATTTTTTATTAAGTTTTATTAATTTAATATTGGATTTAATAACATTATATATTGATTTTCAACTCCTCATAACTCATGCATTTTTTTAGCATCTTTGATACTTATTTTGCTAAAGTTAAATTGACAGAATTTAAGTTAAAACCTACAGGAGTATGCTATTTTTCAAATGGTACATTGTTATCTTTATTCCATATATCTTCTGAGAAATTTGATTGAATACCAGAGGCTTATTATCTTAAGTTATTGTTATGTAATTCACTTCGAGTTTATTCTTAATCTTATGCATAGTTACTAGAATAATAAAATTCTGATTATTATAATAATCTTTAACTTATCTTTATTCCAATCAATATTACATTTATATTTCTTGAGAAATGGATTTAGAAATATCAATATTGATTTAGGGATACATACAACTATAAAATTCTTACATATAGTGAATCCTAGAGGGAATATTATTAGAAAATTACGAGTAATACCTATTGATTCTGTTAAAACTGTGGCTATACTACTTAGATCATACTTTACCAATTTATCAATCTTTTCACTTACACATTTGACAATGTTCTCTAAAATAATTATCAGTTCTACTTCATTATCAAATACCATTACTAAGATTTTTAAACGTTTAATTTTTACATTTTATAGTTGCTAGACTTATGGCTAGTTTTTTCTTCTAAATAAAATCAATTTTTATAGAATTATTTAAAATTTCTTCTTCTCTATTTGATTCTGGAATTATCAATATTAGTTCTCTATAATCTATAAAATTAGATTTTTGAGTAGGTAGAAGTATATTAGATGGATTCTCAATTTTAGCTTTAAGTTTCTCAATCCAATCTATAGATGCAATACCATCAAACATATCTAGTATAACTCTTTGAAGCAACTTATCAGAAGTGAAGATATTCTTTTATTTTGTCTTGTAAAATTTGGATTCTTTCTTGATCTTAGACTCTTTAGATTTAGATTTTACTTGTTTTTTGCTTTGATAACATTGATAATTTTTACGATTTTGGTCTCAGATAAGAAATTCTCAAATTCTGAATCAGAATCAGAATTAAAATTAGAATGATTATCAGAAGAATTAATAGAAAAGTTAGTATTAAACTCAGAATCTAAATCTATAGTAACAGTATTAATCTTGTCACTCTTTTTGATTTGCTTTATAACTTGTCTTTCTTCTTATAAAGATATTTACGAGAATTATATTTAGTTCTATTGCAATTTAAGCAATAGTGCTAGGATGATTTCTTAATGGTATTAATATCTTTTGCCATTTTTGCTATATTTAATAATAAATTAATATACCTTTAATACCTTTAGTAATTTCATCTATGTCATTATCACTTAAAATAACATTCTTTTTCTTAGATAAGTAATTTGAAATCTTTTTATCATATTTATATAAGACTATAAAATAGATGTATTGTCAGCTGTAATACTAAGACGATCTAATATATTATCTATTCGAAGCTATTCTTGATTATTTAATCATAAATTTGGATCTCTATAAATTTTACCTGACTCCATTTGACTAAGCCATAATAATTATTCTTCTTGTCTTTGAGAAGTTAATTATAGGTTGAAATTGTGCAAATGACATTATAGATTTTATCAAGTTTTTGACTTCAGTTTCAGTCATACCTGTATTGCTTGAATAATTATCTTTTTCACGAGATCTAGATAATGTTTTATAATAAGACTGAGGTATTTTAGTAACTAATCTTAGATTTTTTTCTAATTTACGTGTTTTAATTTATTCTAATGTTATAAAAATCTTCTAAGGGTTATTCAGTACTAATATATTCTGCGCTATCAAAAAATAAGTTACGTAAAAATTGGCTTTTAATTTGCTTCTCATCAAGTTTAAGCATTTGTCCATATTTTAAATAAAATAATCCCTGAGGATCATCTTCTTGAACTAATAAACCAAACACTAGATTGCATTTTTCACTAAGCACTGTAAAATACTCATACTTGAGCTAATATAATACTTGACCAATTTGAATATCGTTAAATACTATGAGATTATTATTACCTACATTAACAGCATTAACAAATCTATCTGATAGACACTTTTCAGCTAAATGTCAATCTTCAGTAAAAGTTTTTGCTGAAATTATTAAATTACCTACAGTTACAGCATTATTAACAGAAACATTAACATAGATATGAACAATAGAGGGATTTTTAAAACTATTAGAAGCATTCATTTATGCTATAGAACGAGCTTGAACAACACCTATATTAGCTTGTCCATAATTTACAACAATATTATAGAGTTCTCATCTTTTACTAAGAATTTTTCTATCAAACCAATCTAATATTGATCTAGATAAATACCCTCAAAGAATACCAAAAGCTCTATTTCTTGCTACATCTACTGGATTTACATCTATACTAGTTAAATATTCTGATAATTGATTAATAAAAATATCAATATCTTCATCATAACTGCTTAAAAATATTAGTGTTGAAATTGTTGCTATGTTTGTTTGTATATTTATAGGTAAATTATTCTGAAGCATAAAAATTTGCTGATTCAAATTTAAAATTAATTACTGTAAATTGTATTCTCTATTTTTCACTTGATATAACTTGCCTTTCGATCCTTGAATTTATTGTAATATCTATTAAAAAGTTGATCTCAATTATATTCTAATAACCCTTTATAATGCTCTGAACGGTTCAGTTCAGTCTAGATTATAGGCTAATCTGAAACTGAACCGAAAATTTTGGTTCAGTTAAGTTCGGATTATAAATCTTAAAAATGTTAATCTGAAACCGAACTGAACTGTAAACCGGTAAAAATCTGAACTGAACTGAAAATTTTGAATTAATCTGAAATTTCAGATCGTTTGGAATGATAATTTAATCGTTCCAATCGAACGATTCTTTTATCATTTATTTGAAATGATAATTTAATCATTCTAAATGAACGATTCTTTTATTGTTTATTTGAAATGATAATTTCATCGTTCCAATCGAATGATTTTCTTATCGTTCGTTTGGAATGATAACTTCAATCGTTTCAAATGAACAATTCTTTTATCGTTCTTTTAGAATGATAATTTAATCATTTCAATCGAACGATTTTCTTATCATTCATTTGGAATGATAACTTCAATCGTTCCAATAGAACGATTCTTTTATCGTTCATTTAGACTAATAATTTAATTGTTCCAATCAAACGATTTTCTTATCATTCATTTGGAACGATAACTTCAATCGTTCTAAATGAACTATTCTTTTATTGTTCGTTTAGAATGATAATTTCATCATTCTAATCGAACGATTTTCTTATCGTTCGTTTGGAATGATAACTTCAATCATTCTAAAAGAACGATAAATTTAATCGTTTCAAACGATCCAAAATTTTGGATTAATCTGAAATTTTCAGTTCAGTTCAGATTTTTTTCAGTTCGGATTAGATTTATAATCCGAAAAAAATCTGAACTGAACTGAAAATTTTCAGATTGAAATTTTTGCAATTTGAAACTGAACCGAAGTTGATCCAAACTGAAAATTTTCAGATTAATCTGAACCGTTCAGAGCTTTAGGCATACTATATAAGCAAATAGTGTCATCAAAAGCATATGTTATGAAAGGCTAAGAGACTTGCAATTTTGAGATCATTAGGTATGAAACTAACTATATGTCTTTCCGGTAGATCTCCATATGAAAAGATATGAAGATTCTATTTACATATGCTTTCATAAAGCTCTTGGCATCATACAACAATACTAATTACGCCTTGTATTTCCTTAATTTTTTTCTTTTCAACAGCAAGATATAAAGCATGTAGGAGTATGTGGAAGTTCAGCTAACTTTCTGCAAAATTATTCCTGTAAAAATAATGCAAAAATAGGTATATATATGTTAGAAGTTATATATGTATAAGAGCAAGTTTTTTCTCACTATAGGCTCTTGTATTTAGGAAAACAAAATGATAAATACTGATTATATCAAACTTACTATTAAAGATGATAACAATGAATTTGTAGTTGGTATATCTCAGATTCGTGGTGTTGATGAACTTAAAAACTATATTGTAGGAGAAATTGGTACTGCTTGATTTGACCTCTATAAAAATAACGTACATTCAAAAAATCTTATGGATACAAAGAAGGCAATTCTTAATTATTTTAATCCTGAAAAAGATGATAATCTAATGGTCATTGTACACTCCACCACCCCCAAAACCCCTCTAACAAATAGTTAGAAATTTTTATTCACATTATGTAAAGCAATATATTTGCAATTTTTATGTATTTGTTTCTTCGGCAATGTTTTTTTATTTCTTAAATAAAGCATATATTAATAAAAAATTTTCTTGGCGAAAAGCCGTTACCATT